TTAAGCAACGTTGGACTAGGTACATAGTTTGGATGGGTGACCGCTTAGAAATACAAACTAAAATTAGTTTCCAAACTTATTTTTTTAATCATAATTTTGTCGTGTGTATTTTTTATTTTCTGGTATATAATGCTTAATAAAATTTTACAATCGTTCTCAGAATATTCCTGTGCTGTTAAGGTTTACATTATATTTTAATGTTGCTGCAACATTGTATTGCAATATTTCTAAAGGCGGACATTTGACCGTTGCTGCAATGTTGTAACGATGCAGCAACATTTTGCAACGTTTTTGCAACATTTCAATGTTGCAAAAGATTGCTACAATTTTGCTGCAATCGTTCTGTGCTGTATGGGACACGTGCTCAAAAGTCGGATCATATCATAATCAGTCTTAGGACATTCAATTTAATGAGTCCCGCAAAATCTTTTTGTCTTCTCTTTACTAACGAATTTATTTTTATCGGTTTGAAAACAATTTTACCTCAACAGAAATATCTGTTACGCAAAAATAAACTTTAAACATTAAACAATTATAAATAAATTTGTGAATCAAGATACATTACATTTACATAAATAAATTAAATATACAAAACAAGATCTCATTTTTCATTTAAATTCAAATTAACCCTGAGATTTTTTCATTCAATATTTTATTTAAATTTCGCAGATATTGAATAATAATTCAATAACAAATATAATGACAAGTTAATATAAGATCATCTCTTCACAAATAATTTTATCAAAGCAAAAGATTGGAAGATAAAAGAGAGGTAGGTTTCGGGATAACCTGTATATGATAAAAGAAGATAAAAAAAATCAATTTTCATGTGACGTCTCGTGACAATGCATTTTCTATTGGGTACTATGCTGACCATAGACTTATAAGATAGACTGCGCGCCCTATTGTTCTCGGTGAGGCAGAAGCTAGTGAGAAGGCTACATGTCAATTCTCTGTCCTTGTTTAATCGTTGGTGAGGAGTAGAGTCCTAGAATATAGAGATGCAACACGGCGTCGGTTAGGTTAGGTAGCCACCGCCATTTTAATTCAGTAAAGTACTTCTAACCTTATAAGCTGATGACAGTTGATGCAAAAAGAAAATACTTACACCATAATAATAGCTTTTTATTGCATTTCAACACTTTGTATTGTCTTAATTTTTCTCTATATAATTTATATGTACATACTTTACAAAGCTGTATCTTGATGCATTAGGTGCAATAGTGAATTAAAATGGCGCTTTGATCATTTGATTGGTGCTTTGTCACGTGATTTAGACAGCCAATCAGACCATACCCTTCAATGTCGCATCTCTGTTTTCTAGGACTCTAGTGAGGAGAAGAAAAGAGAGGAGACCCGCGCCGCGCCGGCCGCCGTCAGCCGTGCCAATATATTTTACTATTCTGATACGAAAGCTCTAGATTAGCCTTAATTAATCACACATACATCAATTTATTTTCACAGTCACACACAAAGCAAAGTTCGCTCCTTCACATTAGTTCATTCACCGACGAGATACTCTTAAAGATCGACAGCCCAGGGCAAATTTTCGTGCCAGCAAATAGGCCCGGTGGGTCCGGAGGTAATTGCAGAGTGTCGATGTTATCAACTTTTGACATAAATTTGTGATTTATTTGAATAATACATTATTAAGATCATAATTTTTATTATATAAATGCTTTATAAATAAGTATGAATACTTATAATGCAATAATATCAAATATATTGCCGCAAAATTACATTTTTTTTCCAACTGTTTTACCATCTCTCTGGATAAT